TTCATGGAGAACTGAACTGAACTTTCATGGTGAACTGAACTGGACTTTCATGTTGAACTAGACTTTTATGTTAAATGTTAAACTGTACTTTCATGGTGAACTGAACTGGACTTTCATGGTGAACTGGACTGAACTTTCATGGTGAACTGAACTTTCATTGTGAACTGGACTGAACTTTCATGTTAAACTGGACTTTCATGGTGAATTGAACTGGACTTTCATGGTGAACTGAACTTTCATGGTGAACTGAACCTTCATGGTGAAATGGACTTTCATATTAAACTGGACTTTCATATTAAACTGGACTTTAATGATGAACTGAACTTTCATATTAAACTGGACTTTAATAATGAACTGAACTTTCATGGTGAACTGAACTGGACTTTCATGTTAAACTGGATTTTCATTGTAAACTGGACTTTCATGGTGAACTGAACTTTCATGTTAAACTGGACTTTTATGGTAAACTGGACTTCCATGGTAAACTGGACTTTCATGGTGAATCGAACTGAACTTTCATGAACTGAACCTTCATGGTGAACTGGACTTTCATATTAAACTGGACTTTCATATTAAACTGGACTTTAATGATGAACTGAACTTTCATATTAAACTGGACTTTAATAATGAACTGAACTTTCATGGTGAACTGAACTGGACTTTCATGTTAAACTGGATTTTCATTGTAAACTGGACTTTCATGGTGAACTGAACTTTCATGTTAAACTGGACTTTTATGGTAAACTGGACTTCCATGGTAAACTGGACTTTCATGGTGAATCGAACTGAACTTTCATGAACTGAACTTTCATGGTGAACTGAACTGAACTTTCATGTTAAACTGGACTTTCATGGTAAACTGGACTTTCATGGTGAATTGAACTGGACTTTCATGGTGAACTGAACTTTCATGGTGAGCTGAACTGAACTTTCATGGTGAACTGAACTTTCATGTTAAACTGGACTTTTATGGTAAACTGGACTTTCATGGTAAACTGAACTTTCATGGTGAACTAAAGTTTCATGTTAAACTGGACTTTTATGGTAAACTGGACTTTCATGGTAAACTGAACTTTCATGGTGAACTGAACTGAACTTTCATGGTGAACTGAACTTTCATTGTGAACTGGACTGAACTTTCATGTTAAACTGGACTTTCATGGTGAATTGAACTGGACTTTCATGGTGAACTGAACTTTCATGGTGAACTGAACTGAACTTTCATGTTAAACTGAACTTTCATGGTGAACTGGACTGAACTTTCATGTTAAACTGGACTTTCATGGTGAATTGAACTGGACTTTCATGGTGAACTGAACTTTCATGGTGAACTGAACTGAACTTTCATGTTAAACTGAACTTTCATGGTGAACTGAACTTTCATGGTAAACTGGACTTTCATGGAGAACTGAACTTTCATGGTGAATGGAACTGGACTTTCATGGTGAACTGAACTTTCATGGTGAACTGAACTGAACTTTCATGTTAAACTGAACTTTCATGGTGAACTGGACTGAACTTTCATGTTAAACTGGACTTTCATGGTGAATTGAACTGGACTTTCATGGTGAACTGAACTTTCATGGTGAACTGAACTGAACTTTCATGTTAAACTGTACTTTCATGGTGAACTGAACTGGACTTTCATGGTGAACTGAACTTTCATGCTAAACTGGACTTTCATGGTGCACTGAACTGGACTTTAATGGTGAACTGAACTGAACTTTCATGTTAAACTGAACTTTCATGGTAAACTGGACTTTCATGGTAAACTGGACTTTCATGGTGCCCTGAACTGGACTTTCATGGTGAACTGAACTGGACTTTCATGGTGAACTGAACTGAACTTTCATGTTAAACTGGACTTTCATGGTGAACTGAACTTTCATGGTGAACTGAACTTTCATGTTAAACTGGACTTTCATGGTAAACTGGACTTTCATGGTGCATTGAACTGGACTTTCATGGTGAACTGAACTTTCATGGTAAACTGGACTTTCATGGTAAACTGGACTTTCATGGTGAACTGAACTGGACTTTCATGGTGAACTGAACTGAACTTTCATGTTAAACTGGACTTTCATGGTGAACTGAACTTTCATGTTAAACTGGACTTTCATGGTAAACTGGACTTTCATGGTAAACTGGACTTTCATGGTGCATTGAACTGGACTTTCATGGTGAACTGAACTTTCATGGTAAACTGGACTTTCATGGTAAACTGGACTCCCATGGTAAACTGGACTCCCATGGTAAACTGGACTCCCATGGTAAACTGGACTTTCATGGTGCATTGAACTGGACTTTCATGGTAAACTGAACTTTCATGGTAAACTGGACTTTCATGGTGCCCTGAACTGGACTTTCATGGTGAACTGAACTTTCATGTTAAACTGGACTTTCATGGTGAACTGAACTTTCATGTTAAACTGGACTTTCATGGTAAACTGGACTTTCATGGTAAACTGGACTTTCATGGTAAACTGGACTTTCATGGTGAACTGAACTGGACTTTCATGGTGAACTGAACTGAACTTTCATGTTAAACTGGACTTTCATGGTGAACTGAACTTTCATGTTAAACTGGACTTTCATGGTAAACTGGACTTTCATGGTAAACTGGACTTTCATGGTGCATTGAACTGGACTTTCATGGTGAACTGGACTTTCATGGTAAACTGGACTCCCATGGTAAACTGGATTCCCATGGTGAACTGGACTTCCATGGTAAACTGGACTCCCATGGTAAACTGGACTCTCATGGTGAACTGAACTTTCATGTTAAACTGGACTTTCATGGTAAACTGGACTCTCATGGTAAACTAGTCGCCGCCGTGCTGCTCTGTGACTCACACGCGAAAGGGCACCATTTATTAACGCGCACGCACCCAGGAAAACACACACCTCGCAACACCACCACCAACAGCAACAACACCTAGCACGTCAGTGTTATTATATTAGTTTATGTTTTTCGATACACGCGACGGCATATTTCAAAAACGATCGTCATCCTCATCATCGTCGTCGTTGTCATCATGGCTGGGTGGTGAATCGGTAAACCAGAGGCCGCCCATGGCTCGACCCCATTGCTTCCCCTTCCTCTCTCTCATGAGTGGCGAAGTGCGGCTGTTAGCCCTTCTGCTTCGAGCACCGCCCAACCGAGGATTAAAGTCGCGCGACTAATTTCCCCTTTTTCCACTGGCACACCTGAGCCAAGCCAAGGCAGGGCCCACACTGTAAGGGAGGGTTTTCCACTGGCACACCTGAGCCGAACCAGGGCAGGGCCCGCACGGTACTTGGGAGGGTTTTCCACTGGCACACCTGAGCCGAGCCAGGGCAGGGCCCGCACAGTACAGGAGGGTTTTCCACTGGCACACCTGAGCCGAGCCAGGACAGCGCCCGGAAGGCACGAGAAGGTTTTCCATTTGGCACACCTGAGCTAGAGCCAGGGCCCACACGGCGTGGGTGGCTTTTCCACTGGCACACCTGAGCCGAGCCAGGCCAGCGCGCCGCACGGTACAGGTTGATTTTCCACTGGAAATTTGCCGAGCCGGAACCAAAGCCGACAAGAGTGCTATAGAATCGGAAGTATATTTCCCCGAGTAAAGCCCATTGAGCTATAGAATCTGCTGGCTTCCCAATAAGACCGCAGTGGCGAGATGCTAACTACCTCGCCTCGTATACAGGTGGTCGTTGGTTCAACCCCGACCCCAAACACCTTCTGTGTAATTGGAGTTTGCATATTCTCCCCTTGGCCGTGTGGATTTTCCTCCGGATCCCCCGGTTTTTCCCTCCAACATTCAGAATCAACATCACGCGTTCAGAGCATTTGGCTTACTGCTATAAATTTCCACGTGACGATAAGCCGCTTCGTTGGAGCTATCATTCGTGAAAAGCCAGGTAAGCTCCTAAAAAAAAAAACAACTACATAACTCGGCGAAGTCTTACCTGGTGAAATAAAAATAGCCCTTAGCTTAGTTTACCGTCGAAGTCATTCGAATCTGGTTCAGGGCCAAGCAGGGACAGGGACGGACGGGGTAAATCAGATTCGTCGCACGGCCGATACTCGGCGCGTTCACTGCGTGCGACGTCGGCGACCGGGCCATCCACGCCCGTCGCGACCCGCTCATCGCGCGCGACGTCGGTGGCACGCCACGGCTTCTGCAGTGGGATAGGAAGACAAAAAAACCCACCAACCCCAACATCCCCCCCCGCCCCCCGCCAACCCCCGCCAAGGGAACTCAGAAGTAGTTCTGCGTCGTCCACTTCGGCGAGCCGTTCCCTTAACACTGATATGCATTGCAGGCGCCCGAGGAGCTAGCGACTGGGATATGAACACACGGGAAAACGCACGAGCGTCGAGTCATCAACCGCACCGTGCAAGCGGATAAAAAAGGACCAGGCCCGGTTATTTTTTTTTTTACTTACAATCGTTTGCCTAGGTCTCCGTCCAAGGATCAAAATGCATCCTTTGATTTGTTTGTTATTATTGCTGTAAGCAAACGGCAGCGTTCCCGGCGGCCCAGGCGTACATAGCACCACGTCAACAATCTAACGTCCACATTCCGCCGCCAAGGGCACGCACGCGGGTGGGATCCCTCGCGTCCGCGGCGAACCGCCCACACGCGCGTATGTACGTACGTAGCCAAACTTCTTTCGCACCGTGGTAAAGAAGGGGGGGGGGGGGGAGCGACGACTCCTCTCCGTAATCCGACGCACTTACCTGCATCACGGACAATGTTGGTCGCGGAAAGCCGACCGCGTGTTAAACCGGACACGTTACGAGGTCGCCACTCCTTTTACACGTAAAGTGCTCGCCACAGTTGAAACCGCAACGCCCCCCCCCCGCCCCCCCCGGCTAGCCTCGTCAAAGGAGTCCGAGTGAACACGTCTCTCCGCGTGAGCTCCGGTCGCCGCCCTCGCAGCGGCGGCGGCGGCGGCTTTCGGGCCCGGCGCGCCGATTTGGGGCCGTCTGGAACGCTCCTTCCTTTTTTTTTTAAATCATCGTCTAGATTGACAAACTCGCTTCTTTGGGGCCGCCTTTTAGCGTTTTACGTGCGGTGCGGGAGAAGTTCCCCGTACACACACCGCTGAGAGCGGAGTACAAATGCGTTGCTTTTTAGTTGAATTAGTGCTGTTACAAAAACAAAACCATTTCACAGTATCTTGATGAACCTACAAACTCCCGGCAACTTAGTGCTGAACTTACGATTAAAAGACTACTTGGATACACACAAACTCTGCGACGACGACGTCGTCTTGATTAATGCCTGCAGAGCCTCACGCGTTCAATAACAAATCACGATCGCGAGCCGGTGGGTTTTTTGTTTGTTTGTTTGCCGAGCGTCTACGTTAAGCAATCCGCTACGTCGACTCAACTCGAGGTGCGCAAACCGCCTTTGGTTCGCGTTCACGCTTTCCTCCGTTCACTTAAACACTAAGAGGCGGCTACATCACCATCATCATCATCTTTATCATTGTTGTTGTTGTTGTCATCACGCGAGGCGAGACACTGGGGCGCGTCGCTCAGTCCCCGGCGCGTCGCTACTGGTCGGGGCCGTCGACGGCGCCCGTCGCCGCCGCCTCCGCCGCCTCCGCCGGGACCACCGGCCGCCCGTCCCTCCGCGCCTCTGCGAGCGCCAGCACGTCCTCCAGCAGGTTCCAGAGGCAGCTGTGCAGCGGGAACTCGTTGTCGACGAGGTTGACGAGGTGGTGGGAGGCGGCGACCCCCGACAGGAAGGCGCGGGAGGGCGAATCGGCCGGGTAGAGGGCGGCCCAGTGGTGGACCCACAGCCCAAACGCCTCATCCTGAACACGCGCGCAAGCAAAGACGCAGGTCCCCCGTGTAGCCTCTACGGAATGGTTGGGCAAGTGCTGTCAGCGAGCAAGCAAAGACGCAGGTCCCCCGTGTAGCCTCGACGGACTGTTGGGGACAAGTGCCGTTCGCGAGCACACACAGACGCAGGTCCCCTGTGTAGCCTCGACGGACTGTTGGGGACAAGTGCTGTTAGCGAGCAAGCAAAGACGCAGGTCCCCCGTTGAGTCTCCACGGACTGTTGGGGACAAGTGCTGTTCGTGAGCACACACAGACGCACGCAAACACAGGGGGGTGTTTACCTTTTGGGTGTAAAACGAATAAATATATTAAACGTTATTCATATGGAGGGATTATTGTTTGTTCCCTTTTGCATTTGCACTTGGGCATTTCCTTCACAAAGGTAACAGTTTGGCAATGTACTGTAAAGCAAATCCGGTTGGCGTACGTTCAGTATCATGAAGGCCTTGCGTCTGTATACCGCACCAGGTACAAATTTGAGGCCGAGTCGACCTAGGGGAGGCCCAGGACCGGTTTAGATAATCGTCACGTGGTGGTGTTGGCCGCGAGCGGAAATCGAACCCGTGTCGCCGGGTTCGTAGCGCAGCGTAGCGCTAACCGCTACACCACTGCTCACCCCCATACACACACACACGTGCGCACACACACTCACACACACACGTGCGCACACACACACACACACACACGTGCGCACACACACACACACGCACCTTCCAGTACGTGAAGCTGATGGGGTCGACCACGGTGGGCTGGATGATTTCCCTGCCGGGGAAGATTCCCCAGGTGACCGCGTTCGGCCGGAGATCCGGGGCGTTCGTCATCGCCTCGCCCTGCACACATAGACAAAGATCCCCCGTGTAGCCTTAACAGACTGTAGGGGCAAGTGCTGTTAGCGAGCACCTATGAAGGCCGGAACAGCACACGAGGGGGTGGGTGGCCAGCGCCACGCCCGGCCGCCTTTGTCTCCCCAGTGGCGATATTCACACACCGCACCAGGTACTCATTTGAGGCCGAGTCGACCTAGGGGAGGCCCAGAACCGGTTCAGATAATCGTCACTGGTGTTGGCCGTGAGCGGGAATCGAACCCGGGTGGCCAGGTTCGTAGCGCAGCGCGCTGACCGCTACACTACCGCTCACACACACGCGCACACTGACACACACGCAAACACGTACGCACGCACACACAACAGACACGTACACGCACGCAAATAGAGGCAAAGGTCCCCCACATAGCCTGAAGGGAACGGCGGGGCAGGTGCGGTTAAGCACGCACCTGTTAAGTATTTAATAAACGTGCGTTTGGGGTATTTGGCCGCTGTAAATGTCCACGTGAGGATGATGAAGGCCACACAGTTGAGCAGTCATTTGTGATGGCCAGAGAGCTACACAGCCTAGTGCGGCCTTAACTGGTCAAATAAATAAATAATAGCTTTGTCGTTTACAAGGCGGACCTTTAAGGCCAGTATGGCGATGTACCTGCTGGTTGATGATAATGATGATGACGACGATGATGATGATGATGACGAGGTACCTGCTGGTTGATGATAATGATAATGATGACGACGACGACGATGACCACGATGACCACGATAACGAGGTACCTGCTGGTTGATGATAATGATAACGATGATGACGATAACGACGACGATGATAATTATGATGATGACGACAACAACGATGATGATGACGAGGTACATGCTGTGTTGATGATAATGATGTTAATCATGACGACGACGACGACGACGATGATGATGATGATGACGATGACGAGGTACCTGCTGGTTGATGATAATGATGATAATGATAACGATGATGATAATGATGACAATGATGATAATGATAACGATGACGGCGATGACGACGACGACGACGACGACGATGACGACGATGACGACGATGATGACGAGGTACCTGCTGGTTGATGATAATGATGATAATGATAATGATGATGATAATGATGACAATGATGATAATGATAACGATGACGACGATGACGATGATGACGACGACGATGACGACGACGACGATGATGACGACGAGGTACCTGCTGGTTGATGATGTGGTAGTTGACGCGTGGCTCGTATCGCGGCAGCACCTCCAGGAGCGACGACACCAGCTCAGGAGACGCAAAGAACTCGAGGTACGCCTGCAGCAGCACGCACACAGACACAGACAGAGACAGAGACATAGAGACAGAGACACACAGACACACAGAGACACAGATAGAGAGACACAGACATAGACACACAGACATAGAGACACACAGACACACAGAGACAGAGAGACACATAGACACACAGACAGAGACACAGAGACACAGACACATAGACACATAGACACACAGAGACAGAGAGACACAGAAAGACAAAGTCCCCCCTGTAGCCTCGACAGACTGGCGGGGGGACGAGTGCCGTGAACGACTAGCAGGCCGGCACGGTACACGACGGGCTGGGTGGCCAGCACATCACCCCACCCACACAGAGACAGACACACACACACACGGACACGCACGAGACAAGCCTTAGCAGACGGTCGCCCCCCCCCACGACCGCCCCCCCCCCCCACGGTCGCCCCCCCCCCACGACCGCTCCCCCCCCCCCCACGACCGCCCCCCGCCACGGCCCCCCCGCCACGACGGCTTCCCCCACCTTCTGGAAGACGTATCCGCCCGGCGGACCCCAGCCGAGCGCGGGGTCCGTGGAGGGGAGTGCGTTGGCGCGAGGCTGCGAGTTGATGGTGAGCACACCGCGGCGGTTCAGCCCGGCCAGGTGCTCGATCAGCACGGACGACTCGGCCGCCAGCGGCTCGTCGTTCCACGGCATGCACAGCACCTGCAGCGCCGTCACCGGCCCGCGGTTTAGCGGCTGGGTGTGTCCGAGTTGGCGTGTGTGCGTCTGCGTGGACTTGCCGATGACCGGTGCCGGCGGTGTCAAGATCGGCCTCTGTGGAGGAGGCTCGTGAAGGACGCTACTGGGCAGTTGGGGGCAGTCGCCCTCCAACAACAACGGAGGGCGGAGGAGCGACGCTCACAACAGCGAGCGGAGCGCCGGGTGACTAGGGCACAGCAGGTTGGCACAGTAGGGGGCACAGGTGGTGCATCAGTCAGTCATCTCAGTCAGTCGACCCGTGGCTCCTTCCTGGGTCTGCCCCGTGACCTCCTGCCAGCGGGCGTTCGACACTTCACGTGGCCTCAAGGTGCACATGGCCTGGCACAAGCGTCGTGGTGACGTCACCGCCACTTAGTGGCGAATGGCGGCGGTTGTTGTTGTTGTGTCTGCGTGTGTGTCTGCGTGTGTCTGCGTGTCTACGTGCGGGTCTGCGTGTGTGTCTGCGTGTGTCTGCGTGTCTGCGTGTGTGTGTCTGCGTGTGTGTGTCTGCGTGTGTGTGTCTGCGTGTGTGTGTCTGCGTGTGTGTGTCTGCGTGTGTGTGTCTGCGTGTGTGTGTCTGCGTATGTGTGTCTGTGTGTGTGTGTCTGCGTGTCTACGTGCGGGTCTGTGCGTGTGTGTCTGCGTGTGTGTGTCTGTGTGTGTGTGTCTGCGTATGTGTGTCTGTGTGTGTGTGTCTGCGTATGTGTGTCTGTGTGTGTGTGTCTGCGTGTCTACGTGCGGGTCTGTGTGTGCGTGTCTGTGTGTGCGTGTCTGCGTGTGTGTGTCTGCGTGTGTGTGTCTGTGTGTGTGTGTCTGCGTGTCTACGTGCGGGTCTGTGTGTGCGTGTCTGTGTGTGCGTGTCTGCGTGTCTGCGTGTGCGTGTCTGCGTGTGCGTGTCTGCGTGTGCGTGTCTGCGTGTGCGTGTCTGCGTGTGCGTGTCTGCGTGTGCGTGTCTGCGTGTGCGTGTCTGCGTGTGCGTGTCTGCGTGTGCGTGTCTGCGTGTGCGTGTCTGCGTGTGCGTGTCTGCGTGTGCGTGTCTGCGTGTGCGTGTCTGCGTGTGCGTGTCTGCGTGTGCGTGTCTGCGTGTGCGTGTCTGCGTGTGCGTGTCTGCGTGTGCGTGTCTGCGTGTCTGCGTGTGCGTGTCTGCGTGTGCGTGTCTGCGTGTGCGTGTCTGCGTGTGCGTGTCTGCGTGTGCGTGTCTGCGTGTGTGTGTCTGCGTGTGTGTGTCTGCGTGTGTGTGTCTGCGTGTGTGTGTCTGCGTGTGTGTGTCTGCGTGTGTGTGTCTGCGTGTGTGTGTCTGCGTGTGTGTGTCTGCGTGTGTGTGTCTGCGTGTGTGTGTCTGCGTGTGTGTGTCTGCGTGTGTGTGTCTGCGTGTGTGTGTCTGCGTGTGTGTGTCTGTGTGTGTGTGTCTGTGTGTGTGTGTCTGTGTGTGTGTGTCTGTGTGTGTGTGTCTGTGTGTGTGTGTCTGCGTGCGTGTGTCTGTGTGTGTGTGTCCGCGCGCGTCACCTGCTTCCCCGAGCGGCCGGGCTCCCCCGTGATGTAGCAGGTGAACACGTCACGCACGTGCTCCACGCTCGTCACCTCGTGGCCCCACATGTCCAGCAGCTGGGCGCGCGAGTAGCGGCTCTTCAGGTAGAAGAGGTAGTAGTCGGTGAGGTCGCCAAACGCCGGCGACGACGAGTTGCCCCTGCGCACACGGGGGACGCGCGGTGGGCGGGGGGCGGGGAGGGGAAGGGGGAGCATCAGGGACACAAGGCACTCCGTCAGACGCAGAGAGAGAGGCGACCGTGGTGAACGTCGCAAAGCCTCTACACCAGCCCCACCCGCGTCCCCCTCCCGCTGTCCCCGTGTCCCCCTCCCGCTGTCCCCGAGTCCCCCTCCCGCTGTCCCCGTGTCCCCCTCCCGCTGTCCCCGAGTCCCCCTCCCGCTGTCCCCGAGTCCCCCTCCCGCTGTCCCCGCGTGTGTCTCTCCGCACCAGCGCCCGTTGGGGAACTCGTCCCAGGTCTGCGTGCGGTGGATGTAGCTCTTGGGCCGCGTCGCCCAGAAGATGGGGCGGACGTCCTCCTCGCGTCGCCACGGGTTACGGCTGGGCGCCCATGGCAACGGGCGCCTGGAAACGGGAGGGGGGGGGCAGCAGAGCACCATGGTGATTCATCGTCACCGTCAGCAAAGCCTCGAGGACTCGTTTTTCGGGCTCTAACGTCGTCACGCGTGAAGCCACCTCATCGACCCATCGCTCGCGATGTGGCCGGGGGGGGGGCGGGGGGCGCTTCTGAAAAAAAGAGCGACGCAGCCCCGACGGTGCGGACTTAACCACGCTAAACAAAAAACAGTTTTACAGTTTTATAGTTTACAAGGCGGCCTGCCGGCGGACACTCTCACCATCGTGTGCCTTCAGAGGCAGCAGCTGCTGCTGCTGCTGCTGCTCGTCAACAGCAACACACCCCCACCCCCGCCAGCCTGTTAACCCGATCCCGTTCCAATGACGTACGTCAGCAGTTTTTCACACACACACACGCGCGCACGCGCGTGTGTGTGTGTGTGTGTGCGTGTGTGTGCGTGCATGCGTGAGTGTGTGTGTGCATGCGTGAGTGTGTGTGTGCATGTGTGTGTGCGAGTGTGTGTGTGAGTGTGTGTGCGTGTGTATGTGTGAGTGTGTGTGCGTGAGTGTGTGTGAGTGTGTGTGAGTGTGTGTGCGTGAGTGTGTGTGTGTGTGAGTGCGTGCGCACTAAACCGAATTAAAATAACCTCACCTCACCGCTGCCGAGGTTCCTGCCAGGCCACACGCGGGGAGGGCGAAGCGCCTGGCGCAGTTTGGCGCCGGCTGTCGTGCAGACACTCGGCAGTCACGACGCCCCCCCCCTCTCTCTCAATGTAAACACCGCTACTACACCCCCCCTCTCTCTCAATGTAAACACCGCTACTACACCCCCCCCTCTCTCTCAATGTAAACACCGCTACTACACCCCCCCCCTCTCTCTCAATGTAAACACCGCTACTACACCCCCCCCCCTCTCTCAATGTAAACACCGCTACTACACCCCCCTCTCTCAATGTAAACACCGCTACTACACCCCCCTCTCTCAATGTAAACACCGCTACTACACCCCCCTCTCTCTCTCTCTCAATGTAAACACCGCTACTACACCCCCCTCTCTCTCAATGTAAACACCGCTACTACACCCCCCTCTCTCTCAATGTAAACACCGCTACTACGCCCCCCTCTCTCTCAATGTAAACACCGCTACTACGCCCCCCTCTCTCTCACTGTAAACACCGCTACTACACCCCCCTCTCTCTCAATGTAAACACCGCTACTACGCCCCCCTCTCTCTCTCAATGTAAACACCGCTACTACACCCCCCTCTCTCTCTCTCAATGTAAACACCGCTACTACGCCCCCCTCTCTCTCTCTCAATGTAAACACCGCTACTACACCCCCCTCTCTCTCTCTCAATGTAAACACCGCTACTACGCCCCCCCCTCTCTCTCAATGTAAACACCGCTACTACACCCCCCTCTCTCTCAATGTAAACACCGCTACTACGCCCCCCTCTCTCTCAATGTAAACACCGCTACTACGCCCCCCTCTCTCTCAATGTAAACACCGCTACTACACCCCCCTCTCTCTCAATGTAAACACCGCTACTACGCCCCCCTCTCTCTCTCAATGTAAACACCGCTACTACACCCCCCTCTCTCTCTCTCAATGTAAACACCGCTACTACGCGCCCCTCTCTCTCTCTCTCAATGTAAACACCGCTACTACGCCCCCCTCTCTCTCTCTCAATGTAAACACCGCTACTACACCCCCCTCTCTCTCTCTCAATGTAAACACCGCTACTACACCCCCCCCTCTCTCTCACTCAATGTAAACACCGCTACTACGCCCCCCTCTCTCTCTCTCAATGTAAACACCGCTACTACACCCCCCCCTCTCTCTCTCAATGTAAACACCGCTACTACACCCCTCTCTCTCTCTCTCAATGTAAACACCGCTACTACACCCCCCTCTCTCTCTCTCTCAATGTAAACACCGCTACTACACCCCCCCTCTCTCTCACTCAATGTAAACACCGCTACTACACCCCCCTCTCTCTCTCTCAATGTAAACACCGCTACTACACCCCCCTCTCTCTCTCTCTCAATGTAAACACCGCTACTACACCCCCCTCTCTCTCAATGTAAACACCGCTACTACACCCCCCTCTCTCTCAATGTAAACACCGCTACTATGCCCCCCTCTCTCTCAATGTAAACACCGCTACTACGCCCCCCTCTCTCTCAATGTAAACACCGCTACTACACCCCCCTCTCTCTCAATGTAAACACCGCTACTACACCCCCCTCTCTCTCTCTCAATGTAAACACCGCTACTACGCCCCCCTCTCTCTCTCAATGTAAACACCGCTACTACGCCCCCCTCTCTCTCTCTCAATGTAAACACCGCTACTACGCCCCCCTCTCTCTCTCTCAATGTAAACACCGCTACTACACCCCCCCCTCTCTCTCACTCAATGTAAACACCGCTACTACGCCCCCCCTCTCTCTCTCTCAATGTAAACACCGCTACTACACCCCCCCCTCTCTCTCTCAATGTAAACACCGCTACTACACCCCCCTCTCTCTCTCTCTCAATGTAAACACCGCTACTACACCCCCCCCCTCTCTCTCACTCAATGTAAACACCGCTACTACACCCCCCTCTCTCTCTCTCAATGTAAACACCGCTACTACGCCCCCCCTCTCGCTCAATGTAAACACCGCTACTACACCCCCCTCTCTCTCAATGTAAACACCGCTACTACACCCCCCCCTCTCTCTCAATGTAAACACCGCTACTACACCCCCCTCTCTCTCAATGTAAACACCGCTACTACACCCGCCTCTCTCTCAATGTAAACACCGCTACTACACCCCCCCCCCTCTCTCTCAATGTAAACACCGCTACTACGCCCCCCTCTCTCTCTCAATGTAAACACCGCTACTACGCCCCCCTCTCTCTCTCTCAATGTAAACACCGCTACTACGCCCCCCTCTCTCTCTCTCTCAATGTAAACACCGCTACTACACCCCTCTCTCTCAATGTAAACACCGCTACTACGCCCCCCTCTCTCTCTCTCAATGTAAACACCGCTACTACACCCCCCTCTCTCTCTCTCAATGTAAACACCGCTACTACACCCCCCTCTCTCTCTCTCTCAATGTAAACACCGCTACTACACCCCCCCCTCTCTCTCAATGTAAACACCGCTACTACACCCCCCCCTCTCTCTCTCAATGTAAACACCGCTACTACGCCCCCCTCTCTCTCTCAATGTAAACACCGCTACTACACCCCCCTCTCTCTCTCTCAATGTAAACACCGCTACTACACCCCCCCCTCTCTCTCGCTCAATGTAAACACCGCTACTACACCCCCCCTCTCTCTCGCTCAATGTAAACACCGCTACTACGCCCCCCCCCTCTCGCTCAATGTAAACACCGCTACTACACCCCCCTCTCTCTCAATGTAAACACCGCTACTACACCCCCCCCTCTCTCTCAATGTAAACACCGCTACTACACCCCCCTCTCTCTCAATGTAAACACAGCTACTACACCCCCCTCTCTCTCAATGTAAACACCGCTACTACACCCCCCCCCCTCTCGCTCAATGTAAACACCGCTACTACACCCCCCTCTCTCTCTCAATGTAAACACCGCTACTACACCCCCCCCCCCTCTCGCTCAATGTAAACACCGCTACTACACCCCCCCTCTCTCTCTCAATGTAAACACCGCTACTACACCCCCCCCTCTCTCTCTCAATGTAAACACCGCTACTACGCCCCCTCTCTCTCTCAATGTAAACACCGCTACTACGCCCCCCCTCTCTCTCTCAATGTAAACACCGCTACTACGCCCCCCTCTCTCTCAATGTAAACACCGCTACTACACCCCCCCCCTCTCGCTCAATGTAAACACCGCTACTACACCCCCATCTCTCTCTCTCAATGTAAACACCGCTACTACGCCCCCCTCTCTCTCTCAATGTAAACACCGCTACTACGCCCCCCTCTCTCTCTCTCAATGTAAACACCGCTACTACGCCCCCCTCTCTCTCTCAATGTAAACACCGCTACTACGCCCCCCTCTCTCTCTCTCTCAATGTAAACACCGCTACTACACCCCCCTCTCTCTCAATGTAAACACCGCTACTACACCCCCCCTCTCTCTCTCAATGTAAACACCGCTACTACGCCCCCCCTCTCTCTCTCAATGTAAACACCGCTACTACGCCCCCCTCTCTCTCTCAATGTAAACACCGCTACTACGCCCCCCTCTCTCTCTCAATGTAAACCACCGCTACTACGCCCCCTCTCTCTCTCAATGTAAACACCGCTACTACGCCCCCTCTCTCTCTCAATGTAACACCGCTACTACGCCCCCCTCTCTCTCTCTCAATGTAAACACCGCTACTACGCCCCCCTCTCTCTCTCAATGTAAACACCGCTACTACACCCCTCTCTCTCAATGTAAACACGCTACTACACCCCCTCTCTCTCTCTCTCAATGTAAACACCGCTACTACACCCCCCTCTCTCTCTCAATGTAAACACCGCTACTACACCCCCCTCTCTCTCTCTCAATGTAAACACCGCTACTACGCCCCCCGCTCTCTCTCAATGTAAACACCGCTACTACACCCCCCTCTCTCTCAATGTAAACACCGCCTACTACACCCCCCTCTCTCTCAATGTAAACACCGCTACTACACCCCCCCCCCTCTCGCTCAATGTAAACACCGCTACTACACCCCCCCTCTCTCTCTCAATGTAAACACCGCTACTACGCCCCCCCTCTCTCGCTCAATGTAAACACCGCTACTACGCCCCCCTCTCTCTCTCAATGTAAACACCGCTACTACGCCCCCCTCTCTCTCAATGTAAACACCGCTACTACACCCCCCCCCCTCTCGCTCAATGTAAACACCGCTACTACACCCCCCCCCCTCTCGCTCAATGTAAACACCGCTACTACACCCCCCTCTCTCTCTCTCAATGTAAACACCGCTACTACACCCCCCCCTCTCGCTCAATGTAAACACCGCTACTACACCCCCATCTCTCTCTCTCAATGTAAACACCGCTACTACGCCCCCCTCTCTCTCTCAATGTAAACACCGCTACTACGCCCCCCTCTCTCTCTCTCAATGTAAACACCGCTACTACGCCCCCCTCTCTCTCTCAATGTAAACACCGCTACTACGCCCCCCTCTCTCTCTCAATGTAAACACCGCTACTACGCCCCCCTCTCTCTCAATGTAAACACCGCTACTACGCCCCCCTCTCTCTCTCAATGTAAACACCGCTACTACACCCCTCTCTCTCAATGTAAACACCGCTACTACACCCCCCTCTCTCTCTCTCAATGTAAACACCGCTACTACACCCCCCTCTCTCTCTCAATGTAAACACCGCTATTCGATTCTCGCTCACGGCCAACACCCAGTGGCGATTGTCTGAACCGGTTCTTGGCCTCCCCTAGGTCGACTCGGCCTCAAACGAGTACCTGGTGCGGTGTGTAAACATCGCCACTGGGGAGACAAAGGTGGCCGGGCGTTGTGCTGGCTACCCACCTCCTCGTGCGTGCGTGCACGTGCGTGCGTGCGTGCATGTGTGCGTGTGTGTGCGTGTGTGTGCGTGTGTGTGCGTGTGCGAGCACGTGCCTGGGCTCCTCGGCCCACAGGCCCAGCTGCTTGAGCACGTCAACCGTGGCGGCGGCGCGGTTGAGGGTGTAGAAGTGGAGGCCCGGCACGGCGCCGGACGCCAGCAGGGCCCGGCACATCTCGGCGCAGCGGCGCACGCCCAGGCACTGGATGGCGGCATCGTCGTGCCGGATCGGCTCGATCAGCGCCAGCAGCTCCTCCGGCACGCTCAACTTGGACAGCTTCACCAGCTGGCGTAGCGAGTGGTAGCCCTGCACGCACGTCGCCGGGGGGCGGGGGTAGGGGGGGAGTGGGGGGAGTTTGGGGGGGTGGAGGAGGGGGGGAGGGGGTGGGGGGGAGTGGGGCAGGGGGGAGGGGGTGTGGGGGGGGAGGGGGGGGGGGGCGCCGTTGGTCAACGCGGCATAGTGAACGGAACGAGCGGACCGACTGACCGACCCACCGGCCAGGAGACAGACGGAGGGCAGGACAGACCAACCGACCGATAACCATGTGAGGTTGGCGCAGCCTGGAGTAGAACCATTGGTGCCACGACGCTCTGCGTGTGTGGGTGGGGTGATCGAAACACCGCGGCCGGGAACGTTCACGCCGGCACGAGGGTCCATGCCATCGACGCACCGGCACGTCCGTCCGTCCGCCCGCCCGCCCGCCCGGTCAACCATCCGTCTGTCCGTCTGTCCATCAATTTATCTGTCCGTCTGTCTGCATCATCATCCGTCTGTCCGTCCGTCCGTGCAGACGCCTCGTCGCTCCTCCGCCAATCCATCAGCCGAGCGAGCGTCTGACCGTTCTGAAGTGCGGCCACCAGTCCTTCCCTTCCGTCCACACGTCACATCGACCTTCCGCCTGTCCAGTCAACCAACCGACCGTCAAGCCGTCTAACACGGTGGCCAGGAGATGTTAACTACCTCGCCCGGTGTACAGGAGGTCGTGGGTTCGATCCAGACCCTGACACCTGCTGCTGTTTATTTGGAGTTTGCGTGTCTCTTTCTCATCACCATCATCATCATCAAGGTGGCTAGGAGATGTTAACTACCTCGCCTGGTATGCAAGAGGTCATAGGTTCAATCCAGACCCTGACGCCCGTTGTATATTTCTTCCCGTGGTCGCGTGGATTTTTCCCCGGGTCCTCCGGTTTTTCCGACCCCACATTTTGTGAATCAACATCACCGTGCGTTAATTCGGACTGCCGCCATAAATTTCCACACGACAACGGCAAGCCCACTTTCGCGACCAATATCATCCACGGTACACGTTTTTTCTCGTGTTTTCCGGGCTCGGTCTCGTAAATATCTGAACGTGCGCCGTTAAACCCGCCACCACCTGACACGGCCGATCAGTAAGGGGCTGCGTCACGTAAAAGCAGAACGTGGCAATTCGTTCCGAGTGCAGCAACGGTGGTTGTTGCGTTGGGAGCCAGAGCCGGGTCACGGCGTGGGGGGCTTCAGGGGCCGCAGCCCGGGGGGCCCTCCGACAGCTGGAGGGCCTCCAGAGATTAAGCGAAAAGTTATTTCACTCGTGAGTGCCGAATTTTATTTGTTGTTAGCCTTGTAAAAAATATATATATATATTTTTCCTAAACTTTGTTTTCAATTGTGAATTTGTGAATGCCGAATTTTATTTGTTGTTAGCCTTGTAAAAATACAATTTTATTTTTCCTAAACTTTGTTTTCAATTATGAATTTGTGAATGCCGAATTTTCTTTGTTGTTAGCCTTGTAAAAATGTTTATTTTTATTTTTCCTAAACTTTGATTTCCTTTTGAAAATATTACTCGGGGCCTACACAATCTTAATCCGGCCCTGGTTGGAATAGCAAATCCTCAACGTTTACGATCCGAGTTACAGCTCAGGTGGTGGGGGGGGGATAGGAGGGGGAGGGGCCCCCACTCACCTGTATGGGGAAGATGCCGGGGATGATGGGGCAGGTGATGCCGACGCGACGGCAGTCTGCGAGGAAGCGCAGGAAGACGTCGGCGCTGAAGAAGAGCTGCGTCACCACAAAGTCGGCGCCGGCGTCCACCTTGGCCTTGAGGTGCAGCAGGTCGAGCTCGTAGCTGGCGCACTCGGGGTGACCGCTCGGGTAGCCTGGGGTCACACAGAGACAAAGGTTCCCCACCGCCCGTGTAGCCTCGACGCTCCGTTAAGGGGCAAGTGCTGTTAGCGAGCACACAGAGACAAAGGTTCCCCACCGCCCGTGTAGCCTCGACGCTCCGTTAAGGGGCAAGTGCTGTGAGCGAGCACACAGAGACAAAGGTTCCCCACCGCCCGTGTAGCCTCGACGCTCCGTTAAGGGGCAAGTGCTGTGAGCGAGCACACAGAGACAAAGGTTCCCCACCGCCCGTGTAGCCTCGACGCTCCGTTAAGGGGCAAGTGCTGTTAGCGAGCACACAGAGACAAAGGTTCCCCACCGCCCGTGTAGCCTCGACGCTCCGTTAAGGGGCAAGTGCTGTTAGCGAGCACACAGAGACAAAGGTTCCCTACCCCTGTGGCCTCGACACTCCGTTAGGGGCAAGTGCTGTTCGCGAGCACACAGAGACAAAGGTTCCCCACCGCCCGTGTAGCCTCGACGCTCCGTTAAGGGGCAAGTGCTGTTAGCGAGCACACAGAGACAAAGGTTCCCCACCGCCCGTGTAGCCTCGACGCTCCGTTAAGGGGCAAGTGCTGTTAGCGAGCACACAGAGACAAAGGTTCGCCACCGCCCGTGTAGCCTCGACGCTCCGTTAAGGGGCAAGTGCTGTTAGCGAGCACACAGAGACAAAGGTTCCCCACCGCCCGTGTAGCCTCGACGCTCCGTTAGGGGCAAGTGCTGTTAGCGAGCACACAGAGACAAAGGTTCCCCACCGCCCGTGTAGCCTCGACGCTCCGTTAAGGGGCAAGTGCTGTTAGCGAGCACACAGAGACAAAGGTTCCCCACCGCCCGTGTAGCCTCGACGCTCCGTTAAGGGGCAAGTGCTGTTAGCGAGCACACAGAGACAAAGGTTCGCCACCGCCCGTGTAGCCTCGACGCTCCGTTAAGGGGCAAGTGCTGTTAGCGAGCACACAGAGACAAAGGTTCCCCACCGCCCGTGTAGCCTCGACGCTCCGTTAAGGGGCAAGTGCTGTTAGCGAGCACACAGAGACAAAGGTGTCCACCGCCCGTGTAGCCTCGACACTCCGTTAGGGGCAAGTGCTGTTAGCGAGCACACAGAGACAAAGGTTCCCTACCCCTGTGGCCTCGACACTCCGTTAGGGGCAAGTGCTGTTAGTAAGCACACAGAGACAAAGGTGTCCACCGCCCGTGTAGCCTCGACACTCCGTTAGGGGCAAGTGCTGTTAGCGATCGGCCCCACTGAAGGCCGGACCGGCACACGAGGAGGGGGTGGGTGGCTAGAACCACGCCCGGCCGCCTTTGTCTCCCCCAGTGGCAATGTTTACACACAAGGCATCAGGTACTCATTCGAGGCCGAGTCAACCTAGGGGAAGGTCCATGACCGGTTAAGATAATCGTCACTGGTGGCCACGAGCGGGAATTGAACTCAGGTCACTGGGTACGTAGCTAGGCGCGCTACCGCTCCCAGATACACAAGCACTTAAAGAAGCGTACAGAGTGCGATTACAGGTGGGTGTGTGTGTGCGTGCATGCGAGTGGGTGAGTGGGTGGGTAAGTGAGCGAGTTCGTGGGCGAGTTGGTGAGAGAGTGGGCGAGTGATTGGGTGCGTGAATGAGTTGGGGAGTGATTGAGTGAGTGAGCGGGTGAGCGAATGAGTTAGCGGGTGAGTTAGCGGGTGAGTGAGTGAGCAACCGAGCGAGTGAGTGGGTGGGCGAGCGAGCGATTAGGTTGAGTGAGTGAGCGAGTGAGCGGGTGAGCGAATGAGTGGGTGAGCGAGCGGGTGAGTGAGCAACCGAGCGAGTGAGTGGGTGGGCGAGTGAGCGATTGGGTGAGCAAGTGAGCGGGTGAGCAAGTGAGCGGGTGAGTGAGCAACCGAGCAAGTAAATGGGTGGGCGAGCGAGCATTTGGGTGAGTGAGTGAGTGAGTTAGCGAGTGAGCGGGTGAGCGAGCGGGTGAGCGAGCAACCGAGCGAGCGAGTGGGTGTGCGGGCGAGCGGAAGGGTGAGCGTGGTACCCGCCACCCCGATGTCGAACTCGTCCCCGAACTCGGAGCGGATGAGGCCCACGAGCTCGGCGGCGTAGTTGAGGCCGTCGCACTGCGGGACCCACTCCTCCCCCACGGGGTCTGCACACAAGAGACAAAGGTCCCCCCCGCCACCCGATAGCCTTCAGCGACCGTCAGGGCAAGTGCCGCGAGCGAGCGGCACGGCGCACCGGTGTTTGTTGGAGACGGGGCAGCGCGGCGGACGGATTCGCGAATCAATCTGTGCGGAGCTGTGGTTGGAGGTCGGTTGTCTCTGCCGCGGTCCAGGCTGTGCGCGTGCGTGTGTGTGCGTGTGCGCGTGTGTGTACGTGTGTGTGTGCGTGTACGTGTGTGCGTGTGAGTGCAGCTGCCTTCATAGGTGCTCGCTAACAGCACTTGCCTCAAAAGTCTGTTAAGGCTATGAGGGGGATCTTAGTATAGGTGTGTAGGTGTGTATGTGTAGATGTGTGTAGGTGTGTGTAGGTGTGTGTATGTTTGCATATGAAGGTTTGTGTGTGTATGTGTGTGTAGGTGTATGCGTGTGTGTGACTGGCTCCAGTTTAACAGCAGAGGTCTCACTCCGAATCAGTCAAGCGGCAATATCTTTTCATCGGTTGCGTAACGCTGTGTGGAAGCTACCTGGTCTGTCGCTCCGCACTAAGCATCAGGTCTTCTCGGCCACGGTCATTCCCTCCCTTCTCTATGCTTGCGAAACGTGGACTCCCCCCTAATGGAACATCTTCGCCGGTTAGAAACATTTAGGCTGGCCTGCCTACGATCCATCCTGGGTTTAACCAGGCTGGATTGTGTGAGGAGCTCACAAATCCTTGAAAGATCTGGGCAAGGTCCCATCGATGAGCTCCTCCGGCAGGCAAGGCTGCGTTGGCTGGATCATGTAGCCCACATGCCCAGCCACCGCATGCCGAAACAGCTTTTGTTCGGCCGGATCGAGGGGGCTAAACGGGTGCGGCACGGGCTAGAGAAGAGATGGAGTGATGTGGTACAGGAGGACGTGGAGCTGAGTGGACTTGCCGATGACTGGTACCAGCGGTGTCAAGATCGGCCTCTGTGGAGGAGGCTCTTGAAGGACGCTACTGGGCAGTTGGAGGCAGTCGCCCTCAACAACAGAGGGCGGAGGAGCGACGCTCACAACAACGAGCGGAGCGCCGGGTGGCTAAAGCACAGCAAGTTGGCACAGTAGGGGGCACAGGTGGTGCATCAGCCAGTCATCTCAGTCATCTCCGTCAGTAGACTTGTGGCACTTGGGTCTGCCCCGTGACCTCCTGCCAGCGGGCGTTCGACACTTCACGTGGCCTCAAGGTGCACATGGCCTGGCACAAGCGTCGTGGTGACGTCACCGCCACTTAGTGGCGAATGGCGGTTGTTGCTGTGTGTAGGTGTGTGTGTGTAGGTGTATGTGTGTGTAGGTGTGTGTAGGTGTGTATGTGTCGTCAGTGTGTCCGTGTGTCAGGGTGTCATTGCGTCAGTGTGTATCTTTGCATGTGTGTATCTGTGTGTGTGTGTATGGAGAATGAGCGGTAGTGTAGCGGGTTAGCGCTACGCTGCCGCTACGAACCCGCCGACCCCAAGTTGGATTCACGACCAACGCCGGTGACGATTATCTGAACCGGCCCTGGGCCTCCCCTAGGTCGACTCGGCTTCAAACGAGTTACCTGGTGCCGTGTGTAGTAAACGTCACCACTGGGGAGACAAAGGTGGCCGTGCGTGGTGCTGGCATATTTGGTGATTGAACATCTTAAAACCTTCTGTATAATTGCCACTAAGGGTAAAACCTATTGTTATTTTTTCATTATTTGACACTGGCAAAAGGGTCTCACTTTGGCTAACAGCAGTCTGTTGAGGCGCCACAGGAGGGATCTTCCCCTTGTCTTGCGAGTACGTGTGCGTGGAGGAGGAGGCTCGTGAAGGACGCTACCGGGCAGTGGAGGGTCATAGGAGTGACGCTCGCAACAACGAGCGGAGCGCCGGGCGTTTTGGAGTATTTGGATTGTTTGGCTGCTGCTATAAATGTCCGCATGCAAAGCCACTTCCTTGAGCTGTCGTTTGCTTCTGAAAAAAAAAAAACGCTACATAGCTCAGCGGGGCCTTACCCTGGTGAAATAAAAACATTGTTTAGTTTAGAAGCTGGAATGTACGTACGTGGCACCGTACGTAGAAAATCGAGCTAATCGGAGGTGCGGAAGTTGGGGCACGGGCCACGGATGGTCATGCCGACCCTCCCGGCAGCGGCGAGGGCCCTCGACACGTCCACGCGATGGCCTCGCGCGTGCACCCAGCCTGGCACGAGCGCCGTGCTGCCGCCGTGCCGACGGCCGCCTACGTTGTTGTTGTGGCGTAGCGAGTTCGCTGCACCAGCGGCGGTGCCGGCAGGACTCTTGTACAGACTTGGCGAGCTTCCACGCTGCCCGGGAGATCGCAGCCACAGCCGCCACAGCTGCTATCACCAACATGGGAACTCTACCACCCCCACCAATACCGCCACCGCCGCCACCGCCGCCGCCGCCGCCACCCTCACGAGCAGCCGGGAAATGTTTCTGGAACCCGAGGAGGGGGTAGGTGGGGATGCAGCTCCCACCCTCGCCACCCACACCACCCACGCCACCCACACCACCCACGCCACCCACACCACCCACGCCACCCACACCACCCTCGCCACCCACACCACCCTCGCCACCCACACCACCCACGCCACCCACACCACCCACGCCACCCACACCACCCACGCCACCCACACCACCCACAACAACAACAACCGCCATTCGCCACTAAGTGGTGGTGACGTCACCACGACGCTTGTGCCAGGCTATGTGCACCGTGAGGCCACGTGAAGTGTCGAACGCCCGCTGGCAGGTCACTGGGCAGACCCAGGTGCCACGGGTCGACTGACTGAGATGACTGGCTGATGCACCACCTGTGCCCCCTACTGTGCCAACCTGCTGTGCTTTAGCCACCCGGCGCTCCGCTCGTTGTTGTGAGCGTTGCTCCTCCGCCCTCCGTTGTTGTTGGAGGGCGACTGCCTCCAACTGCCCAGTAGCATCCTTCACGAGCCTCCTCCAGAGGCCGATCTTGACACCGCTGGTACCAGTCATCGGCAAGTCCACTCAGCTCCACGTCCTCCTGTACCACATCACTCCATCTCTTCTCTAGCCCGTGCCGCGCCCGCTTAGCCCCCTCAATCCGGCCAAACAAAAGCTGTTTCGGCATGCGGTGGCTGGGCATGCGGGCTACATGACCCAACCATCGCAGCCTTGCCTGCCAGAGGAGCTCACTGATGGGACCCTGCCCAGATCTTTCAAGGATTTGTGAGCTCCTCACACAATCCAGTCTGGTTAAACCCAGGATGGATCGTAGGCAGGCCAGCCTAAATGTTTCTAACCGGCGAAGATGTTCCATTAGGGGGGTCCACGTTTCGCAAGCGTAGAGAAGGGAGGGAATGACCGTGGCCGAGAAGACCCGAAGCTTAGTGCGGAGCGACAGACCAGGCAGCTTCCACACAGCGCTACGCAACCGATGAAAAGACATTGCCGCTCGACTGATTCGGAGTGAGACCTCTGCTGTTAAACTGGAGCCAGTCATAAGCACACTGCCCAGGTATGGGAAACTCTCCACTCTCTCCACAACTGCACCATCACCGATTTGGAGTTGTGGGGGTGGAGTGTCCGATGGTACAAAATACCCAGGCAGGTGCTTAGTTTTGGTGGGGCTGATGGTAAGGCCCCACCTCTTAGTGGCACGCTCCACACCACCCACACCACCCACACCACCCTCACCACCCTCACCACCCTCGCCACCCACACCACCCACACCACCCACACCACCCTCGCCACCCTCGCCACCCTCGCCACCCACACCACCCTCGCCACCCTCGCCACCCACACCACCCTCGCCACCCTCGCCACCCTCGCCACCCTCGCCACCCTCGCCACCCTCGTCACCCCCACCACCCCTCCCCCCCACCAACCAACCCCCTGACCCCCTCCAAATTTCTCTATGGCGGCTGGCACGGTGGGTCAGAGCGGAGGGCACGGTGGTGGTGGTGGCTCAGAGCGGAGGGCACGGTGGTGGTGGTGGGTCAGAGCGGAGGGCACGGTGGTGGTGGCTCAGAGCGGAGGGCACGGTGGTGGTGGCTCAGAGCGGAGGGCACGGTGGTGGTGGGTCAGAGCGGAGGGCACGGTGGTGGTGGCTCAGAGCGGAGGGCACGGTGGTGGTGGCTCAGAGCGGAGGGCACGGTGGTGGTGGTGGCTCAGAGCGCCCGCCGCTCACCTCCGCGCAGCGCCATGACGTTGCGTAGCCCCCGCGCGCGAGCGCGCCGCAGCAGCTCCAGGACGGTGCCGCGCGTCTGCCCGGTGCAGGTGAGGTGCAGCACCGTTTCCAGGCCCGAGTAGTTGAGCGCCGTGCTGGCGATGGTCATGGAGGAGTTGGGGGAGTCGGAGCCGGGGTCGCCGGCCGGGTGCCACGTCACGTCCACAAACAGCGGCCCGCCCTGGGCCATCGCGTCAAACCTGGGGGTACCGTGGGGGGGGGGGGGGGGTACCGTGAGGGAGGGGTATGGTGGGGGCGCACAGGGAGTGGGGGGGGGTGGTAAACGTGTATCAGCTGAAGGTTCACCTGGTGCGGAGGGGTGGCGATTACCTGAACTGATCATGGGCCTCCCCCTAGGTCGACTCGGCCTCAAATGAGTACCTTGTACGATGTGTAAAAACATCCTCACTGGGGAGACAAAGGCGGCCGGGCGTGGTGTTGGCCACCCACCCCCTCATAGGTGCTCGCTAACAGCACTTGCCCCTGCAGTTTGTGAAGGCTACGCGGGGGCTCTTTGTCTGTCCCCGTTAGCGCACCGCATCTAGAACCCACCGAGTTCCGATTCCCGTGCGCGGCCACCGGCCGGTGACGATTGTCGGAGCCGGTTCCGTGCCTGCCCTAGGTCGACTCGGCCTCAAGACGGGACCCCGCCTGGGTGAGGCGTGCCGAAACATCGGCACCGTGGGAGGCAAAAGGCGGCCGGGCGGCCTGGCGAAGGCGACCCCGGTGGGGGGGGGTGTTATTGTCTTTGTCACCTGGCGATGAGGTTGGCCGACCCCTCCGCCGTCCTGGGCGGGAAGAACTCGAGAGAGAACCACGGAGCGCCGCCCGCCACCATCGCGTCGCGCAGGCGCACGCCGCCTCCCGGCGACGCCGACGCCGGCAACGCCGACGACGAGCGGCAGCTGCAGCAGGGGGAGCCGCGGACGTCGTGGCGTGAGCTCGGGGCTCCGTTCACCGTCGCCGCCCGCGGTTTCACCGGCGCCGACGCCGCCGCCGGCGGCTGCTGCTGCTGCGGAACCGCCGGCGCCGCCGGTTCACGGCGCTCACCGTGGGCGGCTACGTCGGCCATCGTGATGCGACGAGTCTCTCGGCTCGCTCGCTGGCACGGTTGGTCAGTCCGTCAGACGCTCGGTCAGTCGGTCACTCGCTGGCACGGCGAGTCGCTCGATCGCTCGGTCAGTCGGTCGCTCGATCAGTCGGTCAGTCAGTCGCTCGGTCGGTACAGTCGGTCGCTGGCACGGCCAGTCGCTCGATCGCCGAGTCAGTCGGTCAGTCAGATGCTCGATCGCTCGATCAGTCAGTCAGTCAGACGCTCGGTCGGTACAGTCGGTCGCTGGCACAGCCAGTCGCTCGATCGCTCGATCAGTCGGTCAGTCAGTCGCTCGGTCAGTCGGTCGCTGGCACGGCCAGTTGCTCGATCGCCGAGTCAGTCGGTAAGTCAGACGCTCGGTCGGTCGGAGTCACTTCCTCGGGTCGCTCGCTTATCTGGGGAGTAGGAGGAGACAGAGAGCGATAATCGACGATGGCGAGGGGGGGGGGGGTTACAGTGAAGGAGTCTCGTCGTGGTTCTCTCGCAGCAGCGTGGAGGCCGCGGGGGGGGGGGGGGGGGGGTCGTCGAGGTTCACCGACGGCCGCGGTGTGCGGGCGGCCTCCCGGCGGTGCCCCGGGGGAACCGGTTATAGCTGGATGCGCTATTTAAAAATGGGGGGAAAAAAAAGAAAAGCTATTTTTTTTATTTGAACAGTTAACGCGACGCCGCCCAGAAGGAAAGAAAAAAAACGCGCGCGCTTGAAACAACAAAAACAACAACAACAATCGGACCACGGGGAGAGAGAGGAAGTGGCACAGCGGAGGAAGGGGAAGGGGAGAAAGAGCCGGTGGCTGAGGCTCGAGGAGAGCGACGGAGGGGCAGGACGCGCCGCCACCGGCGAAGGCGGCCGCGGCGGCGGCGCCGGGCCAACCGCGTCAACTCGCAGCGCCGCCGCTCACGGCGACGGCCGCTAGCGGTGGGGAGGAACCGATTCTGGACACTACGTGTGTTGTGTGTGTTGTGTGTGTTGTGTGCGTGTGCGTGTGTGCGTGTGTGTGCGTGCACTAACACAAGCATCCATACCTGCCGGTTACTCAAAAATAAACACAACACACAAACTCTGTGCGAGTCCCAGCAGCCGGTTTGGCTAAGTTCGACTCCATTCACGTGCAGACAACGCAGCAGCAACACCACCACCACCACCACCGTAACAACAACAACAACCAGCCTGATGATGATGCTGCTTGTTGTAATTATAACCGGCGAAACCTCACGGTACTCGAACTGTAAATGTTACAGTGGGTTTAACTCTCCAACACGCAACCTGGTGTGTGCGCACGTTTTGTTTAGGCGACACAACCCTCACTCGGTGGCTTGTGTTGGCGTGTTGGCGTGTTCTACCGGCCACGTTCACATTCACGACGCGATCCAACCCGGAAAAAAAAAAACAAACCTCATTTACGGACGCCAGTACATGTCTGCCGACGTCCAAACACGCATCACGAAAAAAAAAACCCCCCCCACCAAATTCCTCCCCAAGGTACCGCGAAGACCGTCGATAAGATGGCCGGTGCTGGAAGGCGCTCGAGGTTCAATGGTAAAAAAAAAAAACCGGTTTAAAAAGTTAAAAAAAAACAAAAACACATTTCACTTGACTTTCGCGGACGGTGACCGCGTGCAACTCGCCGTGCCTGCCGGCGTGCGTGGGGGCGAATCCTACAAAAGCGCCCCGAGGGGAAGGACGCCGCCCGCGAGCCGGGGCTCACCGGGGCTCACCGGGGCCGGTAATCCCCGGTCGAGGTCGACACATCCACAGGAACTGCTCGCGAGGGATGCCACGAATCGCTCTTCGCCCGGAGGAAACGGAAAAAAATATTTTTAAAAAAAATACGATCTCATCGGAAAGTGATTCGCCGCTGGTGGCACCTCCTGCCCCGTGTTTTGACGCAGAACCGCACAGGGTCCCCCCCAGAGCAAGCTTTTTCGTTGTTTATACGATTGCTGGTGAGATGTTAACTACCTCGCCTGGTATACAGGAGGGCGTGGGTTCGATCCCGACCCTGCCGCCTGCTGCTGTATATTTATGGTTTTTGCGTGTCTCTCCGTGCTCGCGTGGATTTTTCTCCGGGTCCTCCGATTTTTTTCGCCACATTTAGAACCCAAGTGTGTTTAAAGTATTTGGCTGCTATACATTTCCACATGATTATAAGTATAAGGATACTTTGCTGAGCTATCATTTGTGATAGGCAGGTCGCTCCTGAAAAATAACTATAGTCGTGGGTTCGATCCCGGCCCCGGACGCCTGCGGTATATTTGGGGTTTGCACGTCTCTCTCTCTCTCCGTGGTTGCGTGGATTTAGCTCCGGGTCCCCCGTTTTTTTTCCCTCCACATTTAAATTCAGCATCACGTGTTTAGATTATTTGGATGCTATACATTCCACGCGACGGGTGAGCCACTTAGTTGGGCTATCATTTGCGGTAGCCAGGTCGCTTCTGAAGAAGAAGCTAATAGCTCAGTGGGCCTTGTAAAAAAAAAACCTGGTAAAGTATAAACTATATAGCTTCGTTTACGAGTCAGGATGTACGGATGTTGAACCTCTGTCGCACCCGTACGTAGCCAACCGCGCTAAATCGGAGGCGCGGGGGAAGGGCAACTAATGAGTCTGTCAATCGGGGCGAGGATTTAAAAGTGCGCCACAGCACCCCAGTGGCTTCCCAACATCGGTAAGGAAGAGAGCGTTCCAGACGGCCGCAGAAGCAGCGTCCCAGAGCGCCGCGCGACGACGCGGTGACCCGCACCGCCACCGCCGTCTTCGTTCGGCGGCTTGGCCAGAAGCAGCAGCCGCCGCCGCCGCCGCTGCGAGGGCGAGGAGCGGAGTTCACGTGATGGTTTATAGCTCCTTGACCGGGGGTCAGGCGAGCGCGAGGCCGAGGGTGGTGGGGCGGGGTTGAGTGGTGGCGGTCAGGTGAGGTGTACGTACGGCTGATGCGGGGGTATAGCAATGGGGGTCAAGGACGCCCCCGGCTTCAGTTTTTTTTATGTTTGCATCGCTCGGCAGGCGAGCTGGCGTGGGAGGCGGTGGGAGGCGGTGCGACGGTGACGCCGTGACGGTGACGCCGCGACGGTGACGCCGCGACGGTGACGCCGCGACGGTGACGCCGTGACGTGCGTCACCTTGGGTGACCACCAGGGGTTGTAATGGATAAACAACAGGCACGGGCCGGGCGAGCGGGGCAATGTAGCCGATAACGTTTCCTGCAAGTCGAGCAGCGTTAGCCCAGAGGAAACATTACACAGCGGCATCACAGGGTGATGGGGGGTCTGGGTAGAGAGGGGGTGGGTGGGTTGGTGGGTGGGGGTCTGGGTGGGTAGGGGTGGGTGGGTTGGTGGGTGGGGGTCTGGGTAGAGAGGGGGTGGGTGGGTTGGTGGGTGGGGGTCTGGGTGGGTAGGGGTGGGTGGGTTGGTGGGTAGGGGTCTGGGTGGGTGGGTTGGTGGGTGGGGGTCTGGGTGGGTAGGGGTGGGTGGGTTGGTGGGTGGGGGTCTGGGTAGAGAGGGGGTGGGTGGGTTGGTGGGTGGGGGTCTGGGTGGGTGGGTTGGTGGGTGGGGGTCTGGGTGGGTAGGGGTGGGTGGGTTGGTGGGTGGGGGTCTGGGTAGAGAGGGGGTGGGTGGGTTGGTGGGTGGGGGTCTGGGTAGAGAGGGGGTGGGTTGGTGGGTGGGGGTCTGGGTGGGTAGGGGTCTCTGTGGGTGGGGGTGGTGCGTTGAGGTGGAGGGAGCCGCACGCTAACAGGGCAAGGGTGAAGAGTTGAAAGGCGACTATGGGGGTGGGGCAGAGCAAGGGAGTGCGCGTTGGGGGAGTAGGAGACGGAGCGGTGGCGCAACGGTTAGCGCATTGCGCCACGAGCAACAGCGACCCAAGTCCCAAATTCCCCGCCCACCACCGGGGAAGTGTGTGTGTGTGCACGTGACTTCACTGTGTGTGTGCACGTGACTTCACTGTGTGTGTGCACGTGACTTCACTGTGTGTGTGCACGTGACTTCACTGTGTGTGTGCACGTGACTTCACTGTGTGTGTGCACGTGACTTCACTGTGTGTGCACGTGACGGTGTGTGTGTGCACGTGACGGTGTGTGTGTGCACGTGACGGTGTGTGTGTGCACGTGACGGTGTGTGTGTGTGCACGTGACGTGACGGTGTGTGCACGTCACGGTGTGTGTGTGCATGTGACGGTGTGTGTGTGCACGTGACGGTGTGCGTGTGTGCACGTGACGGTGTGCGTGTGTGCACGTGACGGTGTGCGTGTGTGCACGTGACGGTGTGTGTGTGTGTGTGTGCACGTGACTTCAGTGTGTGTGTGCACGTGACGTGACGGTGTGCGTGTGTGCACGTGACTTCACTGTGTGTGTGTGCACGTGACGTGCACGTGACGTGACGGTGTGCGTGTGTGCACGTGACTCCACTGTGTGTGTGCACGTGACGTGCACGTGACGTGACGGTGTGCGCCCACGTGGGAGTCTCCAGCACAGTGTGTAGACTGGAGCACGTGCAGTCTACTCTACAGTCTAGAACGGTGGGGGGGGGGGGTCTCGCTAGTCTGTCTCTAGAGGTGCGCGTCTCTTCAAAGCGCCCTCCCCGTGACGTTGTTCATCAAGGAGCAGCGCCGTCTATCCCTGTTCACCGCAGTGCATCGTTGGCGCGGCTCTTGAAAGATACCGAGGAGTGGGGGGGGGTTATCATAATTTTTTCACGGAATCCTGGTTGCAGACCCTTGGTCTAGAACAAGCAGCCTACTCTAGAGTCTGGACCACTCACAGCCTAGAGTCTGGAACACGGCCTAGAGTCTAGACCACTCAGAGTCTAGACTCTGAGTGGTCTAGACTCTAGGCCGTGAGTGGTCTAGACTTTATCCTCTGAGTCGTCTAGACTCTAGGCTTTGAGTGGTCTAGACTCTAGGCTCTGAGTGGTCTAGACTCTAGGCTCTGAGTGGTCTAGACTTTGTGTGGTTTAGACTCTAGGCTCTAGGCTCTGAGTGTGAACAACTCTCACCCTCTTCCAAGAAGACGTGCCTGGTCCACGTGGAAGAGTAGGCCAAAAACACCACCCCCCCCCCCCTTATCTCGAGCGGAGGCCCCCTTCCGCCAGCAGTGTCGCACCTTGCAGACGGGGGGAGGGGGGTCTCTGCACCTTTTAAGGCTGTGCGGAGCGAGGAGCGGTGGCGCTACGGTTAGCGCAGCGCGGCGCCCCAATAACGACCGGAGGCACTTGTGGACTCGACGTCGGCTGGCGAGGTTTTAAGTTACGGCCATCACTGATACGGACCCCAGACCCCACCCACCCACCACCCACCCACCTTCACCGGCGTGGTGAAGTATGGGGCCGTCCATAAATGACGTCACGCGATTTTGGACGATTTTTGACCCCCCCCTGCTCGTCACACGACGTCACAAAAAGTCAGACCCCCCCCTCAAATATGACGTCACAAAGCTCTAACCCCCCCCCCCCAAAAATAAAACATGCTTCAAATCGCTTTAAACTATTGTCATTGTAGTGCGTATTTAATGTGGCGCTGCACTCTGATGCTGTACGAGAAAACATTTATTAAAAAGTCTATTTAATTAAGTAGAACGTGTTGTCTATATTTATTTAAAGTTGCGCATTTTGATGTGACGTCACATTTCTCACCCCCCCCCGCCCCCTCTGTCACACATCGTCACAAATGTCTGAACCCCCCGCCACCACCCCCTAGGTGCGTGACGTCATTTATGAACGGCCCCTATGGTCAAACGCACAGCCCAATACCAACACGTTGTGTACGCGTCACTGGTGATCCCCCGTGTAGCCTTAACGGGGCTTTTGGTACAAGGCGCTGTCAGGCGAACAGCAGCAGCAGCACACCAGCACAACGCCCGGCCGCCTTTGTCTCCCCACACGTGGGTGCGTGCGTGCGTGTGGGTGCTACGTGCATGATTGGAACCGTACAAGCCTACAGCCAATTCACATTGTCCAGTCAATTTACACTGTACAATCAATTCACATTGTACAGCCAATTTACATTGTACAGACAATTTACACTGTACAATCAATTCACATTGTCCAGTCAATTCACATTGTCCAGCCAATTTATATTGTGGAGCCAATTCACATTGTCCAGTCAATTCACATTGTCCAGCCAATTCACATTGTCCAGTCAATTCACATTGTAGAGCCAATTCACATTGTAGAGCCAATTTACATTGTCCAGTCAATACATTGTCCAGTCAATTTACATTGTCCAGCCAATTCACATTATCCAGCCAATTCACATTGTAGAGCCAATTCACATTGTCCAGCCAATTCACATTGTAGAGCCAATTTACATTGTCCAGTCAATTTACATTGTCCAGTCAATTCACATTGTGGAGCCAATTCACATTGTCCAGCCAATTCACATTGTCCAGCCAATTCACATTGTCCAGCCAATTCACATTGTAGAGCCAATTCCCATTGTCCAGCCAATTCACATTGTAGAGCCAATTCACATTGTCCAGCCAATTTATATCAGTCGCCCGTTACAATCAGTCGATGCCACCGACACCACAAAAACGAACATCACTTACCCCGTAAGCCCCCAGCAGCAGGCGCGTCGAGGCATGGCGCTGCTGTTAGCGAGCAGCTATTGAAGCATGGACGAAGCGGTGGAGGTTGTCAATGTTTGACGAAGCTTCCATGCGCGCGCGGCCGTCTTTGTCTTCCCAAATGCTTGCTCAACGTCGTTGTTTACACCGCCACCACGTGTGTGTGTGTGCGCGCGCGCGTGTACACCGCCCGCTCTGTTGACATGACGATGTCCATTGACACACCAGCTCGTGTATGTGGGTGTGTTTGTTTACCACATGTACGGACGGCATCCACGTATATGTGGTGCTTCTCATCCACGGGCTTTGTATTCGTTAACACTTACCCGGCTTGGCTGGCCAACACTGAACTAATTGCTGCGCTGATAATATAGCGGGGATGGGGATGGGGGGAGGGTGAATGATAAGTTACCTTGTTGCTGCTGTGTGTTAGTCAGCGCGTGCCCGCTCCCAAACAGCCAGCCACTTCCAAAACTCTGAGATACAAAAGACGAGCGCTTGCGCTCTGCTCCCAGCTTATATAGGGCCAGGGGGAAACCACGCCCACTACCCCGGTAGGCCACGCCTTCATATAGGCAGGCACCCGCCCTCCAAGCACCAGACCGAGCCCCCATAGCGCCGGGCCACGCCTCCATATGAGTAAAGCACGGCCCACCCCAACGCACAGGTCACGCCCTTGACGCAACAGCACACGCCCACAACGCGCCCAGGACACGCCCCCCCAACGCACAGGTCACGCCAAGTCACGCCCACTTCACGCCAGGTCACGCCCTCCAAACGCGACAGGCCACGCCTCTGTCGGCGCCCGGCCCATGCCCTTACTGCCGCCTGATTGGCCCACGGCGATAATGACGTCACGTAGACCGCGTGTCGGGCGAATGCTTGCGGGTGCGGAGGGGGTGGAGCAATAAATGTCTGGGTGACGTCATCACCCAGGACGTCTTCTATAGGTCTAACAGCTCGCGTTCCGTCATGACGTCATGTCCATCAGCAATGTTGCGTGACGTCATTTACGCGTTCGTCCCTCGTGTGTCGCTGTACTGTGGCATTGGAACGCGCTATATATAAAAAGGAGTCATTGCCCGAAACGTCGCCTGTTATATGTTTTCCTTCCTTTTGAAGGCTACACAGTGTTAATGTATGTTAAACAGTGTTAATGTGTGTTCTTCACACAGTGTTAATGTTAAAGTGTTAATGTGTGTGGTACACACAGTGTTAATGTGTGTGGTACACACAGTGTTAATGTGTGTTGTACACAATAGTGTTAATGTGTATTCTTCACACAGTGTTAATGTAAAAGTGTTAATGTGTGTGGTACACAACAGTGTTAATGTGTGGTACACAACTGTGTTAATGTGTGGTACATAAAAGTGTTAATGTGTGTGGTACACAACAGTGTTAATGTGTGTTGTACACAACAGTGTTAATGTGTGTGGTACACAACAGTGTTAATGTGTGTTGTACACAATAGTGTTAATGTGTGGTACATTAAAGAGTTGATGTGTGTGGTACACAACAGTCTTAATATGTGTGGTACACAACAGTATTAATGTGTGTGGTACACAACTGTGTTAATGTGTGTGGTACACAACAGTGTTAATGTGTGTGGTACACAACAGTGTTGATGTGTGGTACACAACAGTGTTAATATGTGTGGTACACAACAGTGTTAATGTGTGGTACATAAAAGTGTTAATGTGTGTGGTACAAAACTGTGTTAATGTGTGTTGTACACAACAGTGTTAATGTGTGTTCTTCACACAGTGTTAATGTTAAAGTGTTAATGTGTGTGGTACACAACAGTGTTAATGTGTGTGGTACACAACAGTGTAAAGGTGTGTGGTACACGTCAGTGTTCATGTGTGTGGTACACAACAGTGGTCATGAGTGTGGTACACAACAGTGTTAATGTGTGGTACATAAAAGTGTTAATGTGTGTGGTACACAACAGTGTTAATGTGTGTGGTACACGTCAGTGTTCATGTGTGTGGTGCACAACAGTGTTCATGTGTGTTAATGTGTGCGGTGCACAACTGTGTTAATGTGTGTGGTACACGTCAGTGTTCATGTGTGTGGTGCACAACAGTGTTCATGTGTGTTAATGTGTGCGGTGCACAACTGTGTTAATGTGTGTGGTACACACAGTGTTAATGTGTGTGGTACACAACAGTGTTAATGTGTGGTACACAACAGTGTTCATGCGTGTTAATGTGTGTGGTACACAGCGGTGTTCATGTGTGCGGTGCACAACAGTGTTCATGTGTGTTAATGTGTGTGGTACACAACAGTGTTAATGTGTGTGGTACACAACAGTGTTAATGTGTGGTACACGTCAGTGTTCATGTGTGTGGTACACAACAGTGGTCATGAGTGTGGTACACAACAGTGTTAATGTGTGTGGTACACAACTGTGTTAATGTGTGTGGTACACAACTGTGTTAATGTGCGTTGTACACAACAGTGTTAATGTGTGTTGTACACAACAGTGTTAATGTGTGGTACACAACTTAATGTGGGTGGTACACAACAGTGTTAATGTGTGTGGTACACAACAGTGTTAATGTGTGGTACACAACAGTGTTAATGTGTGTGGTACACAACAGTGTTAATGTGTGTGGTACACAACAGTGTTAATGTGTGTGGTACACAACAGTGTTAATGTGTGTGGTACACAACAGTGTTAATGTGTGGTACACGTCAGTGTTCATGTGTGTGGTACACAACAGTGTTAATGTGTGCGGTACACAGCAGTGTTAATGTGTGGTACACAACAGTGTTGATGTGTGGTACACAACAGTGTTAATGTGTGGTACACAACTGTTAATATGGGTGGTACACAAGAGTGTTAATGTGTGGTACATAACAGTGTTAATATGGGTGGTACACAACAGTGTTAATGTGTGGTACATAACAGTGTTAATGTGTGTGGTACACAACTGTGTTAATGTGTGTGGTACACAACAGTGTTAATGTGTGTGTGGTACACAACAGTGTGAATGCAAAGTTAATGACGAACGTGTTGAGGTTGTTGGTGACGTGATGTTCACGGTGGCTAGATGTTAACTACCTCGCCTGGTATACAGGAGGTCGTGGGTTCGATCCCGACCCTGACACCTGCTGCTGTATATTTGGAGTCTGCGTGTCTCTCTCTCTCCCCGTGGTCGCGTGGATGTTTTCGGAATCCTCCGGGTTTAGCCCCCTCCACATTTAGCATCAACATCACGCGTTTAGATTATTTGGCTGCTATAAATTTACACGCGGTAAGCCACTTGGTTGAGCTATCATTTGCGATAGCCAGGTCGCTTCTGATAAGAAGCTAATAGCTCAGTGGGGCCTGATGTGGTACGAAATAAAAAATAGTTTAGATTTTTAAAAAGTGATTTGTTCACCTTTCCTATACTTTGCACGCCTATCATGTTTGTGTAACTGTTTGGTGTTGTGCCTACGATCAATCCTGGGTTTAACCAGGCTGGATTGTGTGAGGAGCTCACAAATCCTCGAAAGATCTGGACAAGGTCCCATCGGTGAGCTCCTCCGGCAGGCAAGGCTGCGTTGACTGGGTCATGTAGCCCGCATGCCCAGCCACCGCATGCCGAAACAGCTTTTGTTCGGCCGGATCGAAGGGGCTAAACGGGAGCGGCACGGGCTAGAGAAGAGATGGAGTGATGTGGTACAGGAGGACGTGGAGCTGAGTGGACTTGCCGATGACTGGTACCAGCGGTGTCAAGATCGGCCTCTGTGGAGGAGGCTCGTGAAGAACGCTACTGGGCAGTTGGAGGTAGTCGCCCTCCAACAACAACGGAGGGCGGAGGAGCGACGCCCACAACAACCAGCTGAGCGCCGGGTGGCTAAAGCACAGCAGGTTGGCACAGTAGGGGGCACAGGTGGTGCATCAGCCAGTCATCTCAGTCAGTCGACCCGTGGCACCTGGGTATACCACGTGACCCTCTGCCAGCGGGCGTTCGACACTTTACGTGGCCTCAAGGTGCACATGGCCTGGCACAAGCGTCGTGGTGACGTCACCGCCACTTAGTGGCGAATGGCGGTTGTTGGTGTGACGTTCTTACCCCGTGCCCTACTGGATATTGTGAAAAAGAGCTTTATAGCTCATCGGATTCCTCCTGCGAGGGAATCAAGTCGCGAGGGAATCAACTCGCGAGGGAATCGCCTCGCGAGGGGATCAAGTCACGAGGGAATCAAGCCACTTAGTGGCGAATGACGGGTGTTGTTGCTGAGTGGTGAGTTGGATAGTGGGTTTACTCTCCAACACTCCGACGTGCTGTACTCGTAACGAATTGGCACGTTCTGTTTACGTGACAAACCTTACTAATTGGCTGTGTCGGGTGGTGGTGGGTTTAACAACACATTTATATTCTATTATGGATAATTGAACACATAGGCTTTCACGAATTTGAGATAAATATATTTTTTTAACCGTTCGGATAGCTACAGACTTGCTACTTTGAAGTGAATCATCAAATTATACATTGTTAAAATGCATGCCTATACAGGTCACGATACTTCTACAGGGATTATCGTTGGTACAGCTATTTAGTGTACGCAGTTGACAGGAAGTACAATAACAATGGGCTTGCACAATGTACATGCATAATGTACATTGATTACCATAAAAATAACCCACTGGCAATGGATACCCACAGTCATTTATATGCATGCATTAATTCCCCCCCCCCCCCCACTTCGTGCAAGAAGAGCGCACAAGTGACGTCTTCACATCTACCCCTCTATATAGGGAACGACATAGGACTTCACAAGTCTGGCCGTCGCCTGATGAAGCTCGTTGCGAAACATCGTACTCACATTGCAAATGCTGCGGCTTGGCTCTCCAAGACACCACCGTTGTGCTGTACGAGTGTAGCGACTTAATTCGGAGACGCCAAGAGTTGGGGGCAGTTTTATTCAACGAGCACCCTCGGCACAGTACACATCCCACGCCGGTGACACTCTTCTGTACACAACTTCACGTGTGTCGCAAAGCCTATGCGCAACACTAGCCGTCACACACCCACGGCGCTGGACCGAGACAAAAGGCTACCGTTGAGCAGCGTAATATCGAGGGAAGTCGACGATGGCGACAAGCACGACAGCGACGGTGGCAACGATCTTCAACGGCACGACGGGGATCCCACTCTGCACGACAGCCCCGAGCTCTCGCTCAGGGCCCCCCTTTTATGCTCCCAGCGTGACCTCGCTCCGACCCAGGCCACGCCCCCTCTCTAGAAACTACCAGCAGGTTCCCCGGGCCTCCCCCATGTGCCCCTTCTGTAAACTTTTCCCCAGATATCCCCTCTGGTGTTTCACCTGGCCTACTGACGTCAGGGCTGCCACAGATCCCCTTCCCCCGCCAGCAGCCAGCGCTATGCTGCTACATTACTTATTCTATGCCACTACATGAGTAACGAATGGGCACGTTCTGTTTACGTGGCAAACCTTACTAATTGGCTGTGTCGGGTGGTGGCGGGTTTAACGACACACTTATACATTTACGCGATCTAACCACAAAAAACCCCCCTGGATTATGGATGATATCCGTGACGAAAGCCCTACTACCTTTCATCCCAAACGGTTTACCCCGTATTCTTGTACAGGGAAATTGAGTTTTCAGGACCATACGGCGTATAGCCGCTTCAATACGGGCAACAGGATGTGTTTTTGTCTATTTGTGTTTCTTGTGATGGGACTATAGGATGAACGTTGAGATTTATAAGGGCACAGGGTGACCAAAAATGTGTCACGTAAACAAAACGCGGCAATTTTAGTTACTAGTTCAGCACTA